GATACCTTGTCAATTCACCAACCCCAGGCTTGTTGGCCAACAAACTAACAGTTTGTCTACAAGTTTGGTTCCAATTCGCATAGGCGTCACCTTGTTGAGTACTAGTCTGGGCCTTGTGGACCTACCAACTTCTGGATAGGCATATTCGTTTCCTTGTCGGTTCACCAACCCCTGGTTTGTTGATGAACTAGCCTTTGACTGGGCATTGCTAGCTTACAAATTGTCAACAAGTAAGTGTACTAACACTCTGTTCGAACTTGTCAACAATCGCTTTGTTTGCGTTGATAAGCTTAAGAACTTACGATTCGCGTTCGTTTTCAATTGCCACGATACTGATTCAGGAAATATTTTCTATACGGACAGGTTATTTTTGGCTGGAAGTGGTGCACAAAACCATGACTGGCATCAGTTATTGCTCAAAGGCTTGCAGTGCTGACAAGAAACTGATGGGTTATATAATCAATGAATGCATACACCATATCCATTCGGAAGTTTCTGGAATCATTAGTATTTATTACGGTCACGTAATTAATACTATTGACTGGAGACAATTCCGAGTGCATATTTTCGAATGGATGTGGTAAATGCATGAGGTAGGTATACCCAGTAGGTATACCTATCGTGCACCGTCAGCATATAAGTCTTTGAAGCAAGAACTGCTGCGTATGTGGAAGAACATGGTTTTGTGCACCGCATCAAGCCAAAAGTATAACATGCCCGAATGACGAATATTTCCTGAACATTGACCATAACAATCATGGCAGTTGCACCATCACGCCGATAATTCGAATAAATCATGATCGCCAACCAGATTAGCTTTTACAGCCTATATATGTCCAATGTTCATCAGTTAAGTTAAAAATACAAAGAGTTGAATTAAAGGCAAATAAATGTATTTATATATAAAAAAACACCGACCGCAAAACACCTGCTCACATGTGCATGCACAGGTCTGGCCCACTTACATTGCGCGCGCAGGGGAAGGGAGGCGTCTCGAACGCGGGTATAGGCACGATTAGTGCGTCCCGCAGGCCAGAGGGGGCCTCAAGCTCACAGCACGAACACCACAGTTCACAGATTTCACTTTTTACTGCACAAATGCTGGAACAGCCCTCGTCGCTGCTCCAGGGCCTCGTTTCATAAAAGGAATTACTTACGGCGTCCCGTCAATTATGCCAGATTTGGCGTATTTTATGCCAATTCGGTTTCATAAAGCCGGAGACCGGAGTAATTCACGCCATCGAAAGTACGGAGCTTCATTTACGGCAAATGCTCAATTCCGGACCAATTGATGCCATTTGGGTTTCATAAAACGACGTAATTAACGCCAAATATTTTATCAAGCTCTTGATATCAGTGGTGTAAACTACGCACAAAAATGTTGCGTGATTTTGAATTAATGTGAAGATTCGAAGCTAGTTTTTAATATATTTTATAATGTTGAGCCCGGTGAGGAAGAAAGAACAGCCAAAATGAGAAAAAGAAACTGCAAATCTTCTCTACCAGTCGCTTTTTGTGGCCACTATCGGAATTTTGTTTATTCGCCGCGCCGCGCCACTTTCGTAGTTAGGCACTTCTGCTTAGCTGGCTTTCTGCTCTTTTTAAATATATTGTTTTAATAAAGGATGGTTATCAATATCAATTTTGTTTTTTAATAAATAATTTTTAAGATTTAAATTCAACATCATTGTTTTATGATTTCTCGTAAAAAAATAAGTGTTGATATGAAATTGTAATTTGTAGGACGCTTGATAAATTACGGTAACTACGCAAATGTGCTTAGTTACGGAGGTGTAAACAATTCCAGTTGTGGCTTTGTGAAACGGCTTTATTTGCGCTCCGTAGTTTGAAAGGGTGTGAATTACGGAAAGGTGTAAGTTACGGCAGAGTTTTATGAAACGAGGCCCAGGCTGCACGGCGGCCGCGCGACAACTGCTGGTTCGAAACCCCGCTAACGGCGGGCGGCGACCGCTGATTGGTCCGCCAAGTCTGACGTCATAGGCGCATCTGACCATGTGTATGCTGACCAGCTGACCAGTACAAGTTAGGCGCCGGTTAAATAACCATGCGGCAACAAGTTTCCAAAACTGGTTAAGAAACAAACGTTGAAACAAATGTAGAGTTGGTCTGGATACTGAGAAGTTGGTGTGCATAGTAACTATTGACTCGTAGTTGTCACCTGACAAGCAATGCACCAGACAACGGCTTGTTTAAAAAGTATCAGTTGGTAAACATACCAAAAGATGATTGGTTATATTACACAAGACTTGTCAATTTGGTTTACAGTGTATGCAGGCAGGTCCGAGGGTAGCAAGGCTGAGGCTAGCCAGGTACCTCGTAGTTACTGATACGTCATCCGACGAATCGACTGCAACCATTATTTTGACAATCAGACGAACGCTTGGGTCAGTTTTGACGCGCTCGCTCATTTGAGGGATAAAAAGGGACTAAAATCATATTGTCATGCTGATGTTCTAGCCCACAACTTATTGACCTATAAGCAATAGGGACTAGGGAGCTCTTGAAGCGATTCTGAATCTGACGTTGTATTTGTTGATGTTGCTGACGCCAACTTCCCTGACATGATAGCTAAAAAAGCATATTCAGCATCGCCAAAAGTGGGGGGGTCGATCCCCCCGGTTCTGACGAGTGGGGGGGTCGAGACCCCCCCCCCCCCGACCCCCCCGTCGGCGACGCCCCTGATTTGAATCATTTTATCGAGGAACTTGATGAGTCATGAGTTGATTCGAATCAATTAAATTTAACATCATGAGTCGTTTGATGAATCGATTCAAATTTCCAGACTCAAACAAAGAATCGACTCAAAAAAAAATTTGAGTCGTTTACAAGTCTGCCAATAGCATTTATCGGCTCTTGCGGAGGATATGGCAAACCAGTGTGAACAATGAAAGTTATAAAGCTCCAGTAGCGGCGGAACACCTTCAATTAAGGGGGGGGGCACTGCCGACTTTTGGTCCTATTCTTTCCATGCAACGCCCATAGGGCTAATGTTAAGATGCCAAAATCAAAGGGGGGCACGGTGCCCCGGTGCCCTCCCCGTTCCGCCGCCTATGTAAAGCTCAAGTAAAAGGTTGCATGCGCCATTTTTGACATGCCACATTTCCCGAATGTCGTTATGCCCGTGTCCGTGGGCCGTATTTGAGTCAGGATACGCATGGTTAGCAAAATAATACCTTAATATTGCGTGATAGATATTGAACGGGGCAAAACTTATTGTGTTTCATATTTTTTTTGCACACACTGTTCAAAGAGCATATAAGTGATACCTAACTGATACGTGAAATAATGTAATAAACACGCGCAGTTTTAATGTCTCCTGATGGTCCCCGAGACGATTTAGTGAGCTATTATCATGTCAAGGAGTCATCTACAATTAATTATCTCCCACTTCTCGCTTCAATGAAATATTTCATCGGTATGCCAAACCGACAGGCACAATATACAGTGTAAAAATGTGGAGCCGATGGAACGGACGGATTATTTTTATACGGTTCCATCTCCTCAATCACCGGCTGTTGTCAGTATCACGGCCGAGCCGTCCGCTATTCGACCGAACCGACCCCGGGATATGCGGTCTGAGGGCGTCACACTGGGAACCGACACCCAGACCAAGTGCGAGGAAAATAAATCCCGAAAACAAACGAGCGACCCACACAGATGGATGGAGTGTCGAGGGAAGTCAGCGCGGATAACGGCCAGACTTTGATAGGAGGGCGGGCCGGCAGCCGGCGGGCCGGACGGGACGACAGAAGACGCCTCGGACGGCCAGACGCGGGTGGCGGCGGACGGTGAGAGATTCACAGTGAGGTGAGGTCCGAGTCTGCCGATTCAGCCGACAGATGTGACACAGATAAAATATACCACACGGGAGACGGCGGGGATGGACAGGAGACAGACGGGAGACGGCGGGCAGAGACAGGAGACAGACGGGAGACAGACGGGAGACGGGCGGGAGACGGTGGGGGCGGAGAAGACGGCCAGGAGACGATTCACACATCCGTCACTCAGCACTTTTTACGAGACTCACAGATCACAGGCCACATCACAACTCACCACAAAGTCACAGTTGAAGCTGAATGGCTGGTTCAGACGCTATCGCATGAATATTGAACCATTCATATCGGCAGTGGAATTCAGGGCAAGGCCTCAACATCTATTTACACAAGGACGATTGAAAACAATCCATCCCATCGCAGCTGGAGCGTTGCCCGATGATTTTAGATAATGATTGAGATCGATTGATTAATGATTACCGAAGATTGACCGTCTTACGGCGTTTGATTTATTATTTACGTTGAAATTATGGGATTGACACCCCATGCCCGGACAAGCATCCTGTGCATCGCCCGTTCCAGAAAATGCCCAATAAAGAAGCTACGTAATAGTTTCAATCCATTAGCGGCTGGCAACTTTCTTTCCTGAAAACTGTCTCTACTACTAACATGTTTGCAATTATGGAAAACAAAAATATGAAAGGCCGAGCTATTGCATTGGCAGTTGCTGTGCAATCTACATAAAATCACATACCTATCCACCATTTGAAGACGGTGATGGCTGGCATGAATGACATTTTGAATAATCTTGGTAACTTGAAAAAGGGATCCTCGATAAAAAAAATTGACATAGCTGTTCAAATAACACAAGCCTCTGTATCCTTGACCGTATCAACCGCGAAAGCGTGAGATATTGTGAGGTCTGACCAACAAAGTCAAGCCCACTTGCACGGCTTTGGCTTAGCCTCAATCCGTCAATCGATATACCTAATAGTCGGTAAATACCAATCTGGAGAAGGTATCACAGGTGGTCCTAGTCGACAGCTCACAGAGACCTGAACTCGGGAACACCGTCACCACCGTATCAAGGAAAAGGAAACTCCCCGTGAGTCGCGAGCCTTGGACGTCCCCGTGCCACACACAGACACACAGACACACAACACCGCCACCTGACCAAAGCGGGCCCACTCCGGCCCTCCCACTCACCAGTTTTCGCTTATCGTCGCTGCAGTCCGTCTTTTTTAGCTCGGCCTTGAACTCGGGCACGGTCTCGCTGTCACACTGCAGGATGGCGCTCAGGTGCACGATGTAGTTCGTCGCCAGCCGCAGCGTCTTGATCTTGCTCAGCTTGGTATCGGCCGGCACGTTCGGTATGCACTCGCGCAGCTCGGCGAACGCGTTGTTGATGCTCATCGTGCGCCGGCGCTCTTTCTTGTTGGCGCCCCGTTTGGGTTTGGCTCCGCGCGAGCCGGGCCGCGGCGGGGCGGTGTCCCAGCCGGCGGGCAGGCCGCCGTACGCCTCCGGAGGGTACTGTCCGGCCGGGAGTACAGGGTAGCCGGGCGGCGCCGGCGGCGGCGGCGGCGGGCTGTATTCGGACGGCGACATGTCGGCCGGGTAGCCCCAGCCCTGCAGCGAGTAGTAGCCGTCCGGCGGTGAGGGGTAGTACGGGTAGCCGGCCACCGGCTCGGGCCCGGCGCCGAACCCGGCCGCCGCCGCCGCCGCCGCGAAGCCGGCCGCTGCCGCTGGCTGCGCCGACATGACAAGGTCCAGACGCGCCGCCGGCAAACACGGCGCCGCTGCAGGCGCGCTCCGCAGACCGCTGCACGGACAGACAGACGTAAACCCGGCACCGCGCGCGCTCGCTGCCGCCAACGACGGACGCTCGCCAGCCTTCTCTGGCATTCGTCATCGCCACCTCGGCCGCCAGAGCGGGGGCGGCGCCTGCGCGCCTGGCTCCGCCCACCGCGCCGCTCATTGGTCGCCGGCCGCGATCGCGCATATGCACCGGCCGCCGGTTGGAGGCCGCCTCCAATGGCGGCTGGCCGCGCCGCGGGGGCCGGAAGTGGAGGGGAGGGGCGTTCGTGGTGACCGGCGACCACCCACCACCCACCCCCGCCTCCTTCACCCTATCTCTTGGGACGGGCCTGGCGCTGGGCTGATACGAGTCGCGGTCCAGGAGCCTTGGTAGCGAAAGATATGCGCCTGGTGCAGTGTGAATGAGCCAGGCGGACAACTGCAGATCGTCACTTGGGCCTCGTTTCATAAAGCGAGTCCGTAACTTACGACGGGTTTTGGTCTTGTATTGCAAGTGCATGTGAAGCCATGACGATAGTTTGAATCGTTGAATTTATTTATCTTGCAAGCAAGAACAGAAGGGAGAAGGGAAATGAATTTATCGCTTCACATGCGCTTACAATACAAGCCCAAAAAACGGCGTACCTTAGTTACGGACTCGCTTTATGAAACGAGGCCCAGAGGCCATCCACCGCCCCCGAACACCAAAAAAATAGCAGCATCACCAGCGGATAAAACCGGCCATACTCTGACCGAGCACAGCACGATGCACCACTCACGACTTTGTCTACTCCGTCTGAATATAGCCGTTTTCACGACGGGCTATCCGGCGAATGCACCTGATTTGACCAAATCTGCACCAAATTTCTTTTACAGCAAATATCTTCATTTTATGAATTTATTTCAGTGTTTTAATCGATGATGCTCTCTGACAATATGACAAAGCAGGCGTCTAAGCAATTAGTGCAACCCAAGCTGATAGCTGCTTAGTGCTAAGAGACACACTGAACCTGATTTGACCAAATCTGCACCTAATCTGTACCAGATGTGCACCAAATGTGTGCCAGATGCCAGATGGCCGTCGTGAAAACGGCTACTATCAACTGACTGACGCTGTTCTGCATGCCGAATCCTGCCACCAAATTTGTTTTCCATGACCCTCCGGCAGGTTGAAACTTGGTATAACCAATTTTTTAATCTTTTAACAGTAAACTTACACTTAAACGGTAACGGTGCATGCAGTCACTACTCGCTTAGGAATAGGGGAGAGCGGGGCCAGTTGAAACACGGGGTCAGATGAAACATGGCTTTATTTTCAACAGTATGCAACATATGGCGTTGCCGACACCACTGCGCATCCGCGCTCGACCACTTCCTTTGTCAACGGCGTTTGGGCGGCAAACGGACGGTAATTTTGATTTGACACTTGTTTTTGTGTTTTTGAGGGGCGTTTGGGAGAAATCGTTTTTATGAATATTTTGTATTATCTCATATACCTTTGTTTGCTGAAAGAAGAGCTCCTGGCTCCTGAATAACACCTTATTTGGCATTTCATTCAGCATGATGCCGTCCCTCCAGCTTGTTTGACATGTGCTTTACGGCGCGTGCAAGATGGCGGGAGCGGATGGGGTCAATTGAAACGCTTCTCTGAGGGTCAGTTGAAACAGGGCCACAGGCCGTTTCAATGGACCCCGGTGACCTTTGCAATGGTTATTGCTCAGGGGCTGTAAACATTAAAGGAAATAGTCCACCTTTGAAATGAGCTTTTAAACTGAAATAGTAGTTTAATAGAGCTCAATTTTTTACCCCTTTTTCTCCAGCATTTTGCTTGAAAGCACACTATAGCCTGAGATATTTCTCATTTTCCTCATCCGCCCATTTTACCATAGTCTATGTACTTTATGTCACCTATTATGACGAACTTTGCACTTTTAGCTTTCCAACGACCTATTGAATGTAGCATTTGGAAAAGTAAACCGGACAAAATATCTCCTTAAGAAAGTGGCCTTAAAGAGGAAAACATCCCATTGTTAAGGATAGGTGCAATTGACCCCATGGGCTGGTTCAATTGACCCTCGCATCGGGGTCATTTGAAACGGGCGTAGAGCTGTTTTATAAGCATGCGTTTGGCAGCAAAATATGTTTGAAACATAATTTTACATATCTTAAAATTAAGCCAAAAGAGCATATTTTTTCATGGCATTGTGCATTTTTCGATATGACAACTAGATCTCGCTGTGCATGTCAATATATAAAAAGTGGTTCAACTGGCCCCGCTCTCCCCTAGTGAATGCTTCCACAAAAATGTGGAAAGCAAAACTGCTTAAGTCAGCGCATCTTACCAATGAGACACGGCTTGACCCACTACATAAGGGACGGGTCCAAAGTTCAACAACTCCGAATTCCTGGGAACTGACTTGGTGAATCGTTATGTGTACCCGCTCTCTTCGTCGTCCATCCATCTTTCCACGAAATTCAAGTCAGTCCCATGTAAGGCGGTCTATTTAGTCGCAATAGAAGCTGTTACAGCGATTAAATTGCACTAGCACTACACCATATATTTTTTCTTGTACAATTATCGAAACACGCCTTTGAATTAATTTTAATGTGTAGGAATATGTATATACCTGTTCAGTATTCATCCAATAAAGCTTCCTTTACTATAACTCCTAAAAATCTCGGATGACTACCTCCATCCCCGAGTTCCCCGATCTGCCGCTGTCCTATCCACCTGTTCCGACCCGCTCAGTCCCGCTGCGCCGATCGTATCCGGTCTCGTGCTGAGCGCTTCCGGCCGCCGCGCGCGTAACGTGAGCCGTATTTGCTCTGGCCGCGCCGCCACCGTCGCCGGCCTGGCGGGGCACGCGCCGCTGAAACCCGAGCGAGGGTCGCCGAGAGCCCGCGACGGAACGCAGACGCTGTCAGCGGCCGACCGACCGGACAGGGACGGCCGGCTGTCCGGTCTGAGCTGACAGCCCTGAGAGACGGCGCACAGCGCGGTTTGTATATACTCGCATACAATATCCATACAAAGTTCAGTACTGAGGACACGGTAAAAGTTAGATATGGGGAGAATATCACTTGCACAATTTCGCGCAATCATGCGAGCATGGAAAGTTAAGTACACTGAGAAGCGTCGCGGTCGGCTAAGGTCGCCACGTTCCGCGCCTTCACCTGCAGTTCACGGCACGTCACGACTGTCCCACACGCCCACCACATGTGGTTATTGGTTAGTAAACACGCTATTTGGACGCCACAAATCTGTAGGTATAGAGACTTTGTATGACCGGCAGTCAGATCCACGCCGACCGTCAACCGCAGTCCAGGCGTGGGACTGGAATAACTCTGAATAAAGCCAATGCCAGGTGCGCCTGGGAAAATGGGAAATTTATTTTGTAAATAGCAAATAAGACTTGTCAATGTGTAACCGACCCGACACTCGACAGTATAGACACTCGACAAGTTGAGAGGCCTCAAGAGACTTTCATCAACCCTCAGGCTGGACACTTCAACGGTCCACCAATGAAAATCAGCGTCGATGACGAACATGGTGGCGCCGCTGATTGTGGGGCTACTCGTGAGTCGTGACGCAGCAAATGTCTCATATCGTGATGGATTCGATGACGAATTTAATGACAGATTTCATATCGGATCTGATAACGAATTTGATGCAGGTGTGATGGCGCATCTCGATTACCATAAAGCCAAGTTATATTATCTCGGGTGTCCGGGCTCCGTGGGCCCATCTCAGCTTCTGAATTCCGAATGTTACTGGTGCAGTGGAATTGAAGGCACTCGTGACTGGGCTCGGAGGGCTGGCAGCGGGGCGCGAGACGGGACCACCTCGCCGAAGTAACGGCGAGACCACCTCGTCAGCCGTTAGCGGACCCGGGACCACCTCCCCGTCGGAGCCGCGTGCCTCAGACGCCGCTGCACCGGCGGACCGGCGCGCGTGACGCCACATTGTCGCGGCGCCGGCGCCGGCGCGTCGCACCCGACGGCGCTCCCGGTCCGACCCGGCACCGGTCCCGGACACATGTGGCCGGCCGCTGGGAACCGGTCTGACGGCGCGCGGCCCAATTCTGCCCGCCGACCGAGGACGGCACCGTTCGGTCGCTGATGGATTGACTGGCTAATTGACAGGGCGGCCGATGAATTAGTGGCCGAGGAGGCACGCCTCACTCCACTGGATTGATCGAGCGAACTGCGGACGCAGCTCCAGCTTCCAGCATTCATTCAGAGACGGAGACGTCTTTGGAAACGTGTTATCTAGAAATTGTTGAGCTAGGCGCGATAGGTTTTCACTCTCGTTTCTTTTTACGCATTGACCTGTTATGTCATGTCTCTCATTGGCATTGACTCATTGACATGTAGGTATAGGCATGTCGACAAAAATGTCTTTTAATGGGCTCCGGGCCACGGAACAACGGCGGTTGGTTTGTAAATAAAAATGTGTCTATTTTGGATCAAATTTTGATATTACTAGGCTTGCTGTTGACGAATTTGGAGCCCTTACGCAGATATGAAAAATAGTCCAATAAAAAGCTATGTGCACTCGGTGTATTCCACTCCGCGTTCCTGGTATAATTAGTTTTCAATAAGCTGATGTCGGCACACAGACAGGCGACAGCCACCGTTCGCCGCCGCGGGGAGAGGTAGAGTTCATTTATGTATGTGCCCCAGAGCTAATGTCTATCGGAGGAGCTCATCTCACTGCCGGAGAGTTAATGCATATCGCGGTAAAGCTCATTTCTCTGCCGGGGAGCGGTCCTGGCTGTGCCGGCCGATCCCACCACCATCCGCCACTGAATGGGACCCTCTCCGCGGCCGATGGACTGTTTTGCATCCGGCGTAACGGAGATGCGAGCGCGATAGGCGTGCATCAAATCAGCCGATGACTAACGGCTCCGTGTCACGGCCAATCGCCGGCTGAGTGACGGCTCAGTGTCGCGCTCGGCGGGCGGCGCGGGGGGCGCGTCCGATCGCCCGGCCGCCCCTCCGCCGGCGGCACTTATTCCCACAAACGTGCCATCATTGTTTGGACGGTGGCCGATGAACACATCATTCACCGCCGCCGAGAGGCCAATCTGAATAAAAGCCGGCCGGTTTCCCAGCGCCTCCCCACGGCGCGCCGCCAGCCGGCCGGGGAAGGGTTGCGCCCGCGCTTGCCGGCCCATTAAATTTGCCGCCGAGCGGAGCCGACAATCGGCGTTATCTCTGTGTCGGGCGGCGGCGGCGGCGGCGACAACGCTGATTGCGGTCACACCGGCGCTTCCATTCAATCTATCACGCCCGGCGGCGGCCCATTGCGTCTAATGGTGGCATCTGGCGCGGCGCCGGGTCAGAGGTCGTTAGTATAGTGGCGGAGCGGGCCGGGTCGGACAGCCATGGCCGGCGGCGCCGCGGGC